GCACCGCCCACCCGCTGCCGACGGAGCTTATCTCGGTCGTCGACATACACCTCAACGACGAACTGTTATTCTCCAGAGTCCCGCTGCCGGCGTTTTACTCCTGAAGCTCTTGATTTTAGATTGTGAAATTTGATTTGTGGATCTTGATTGCATATTGTGAATTTTGATTTTGTGGTGTTATTATTGTAAATTAGATTAACTGCTCGTGAAGCTCTTGATTTTAGATTGTGAATTTGATTCTTGGATCTTGATTGCAGATTGTGAAATTTGATTTTGTGGTGTTGTTACTGTAAATTAGATTAACATTAGGCCTTCGTTTTGGAAATTTGATAATAAGCAGGGACCTAATCACAATTTTTCATAATTTCTAATATAGTGCAGGGACCTAGTCACAATTTCTATGCTGTGAAGAATAGGAACTTTGATTAGTATTGTAATTTTATTTATTTATTTATTTATTTTTTTTTTTTGTGTGGCGAGTTTGGGGAGTTGATTGTGTGCTTTTCCCTATTACTCGGTTATCAACATTGTTTTGTTGGTATTGTTATTGTAGCCATTTGGTTATACCTTTGCACTAGACTTTATGATTTGAGTTTATATAATGTTTTATTGTTTGGAAAAAAAATAAAATAGTAGGACAGTTTAGTTCATGGTTAATCCACCATTCGTAATTTAACATTTTTATATTTTTACATAAATAAATAAATAGTACTTTTGCATAAAAAATATAAATAAAATAATTATTATATTTTTAATATAGTTTAGCATTTTTGTTATTTAAAACAAAAAAAGGTCAATACATTGAATTGAAATAATCGTTTTTTTTTAATGAAAAAAATAAAATAATTGTACCGAAATATATAATTTTGAAGCAAAAATTTTAGTTTGGTCGAGTTAGTTAGATATTGTGCAATTCGATGATAATTAATGTTCAATTATTATAACTGTAATGTGCATCCGCTATGTATAAGAATATATAAAAAAATCATAATAATATTTTTAATATAGTTCGGACAACTCAGTTACAACTCAATTATTTAAAAATAAAAGTAAAGCTGACATCGAAATGAATTAAATGCCATTTTAAAAGTAAAAACAGATCATCGAACTAAAATATAAAATTTTTAACTGAAAATTTTATTTCGTTCGATTTGAGATGCTAAGGTGCAATCTGATAATCGTTAATGTGCAGTCTGATAGTTATTATAATGCAATCCGTATAACATTACTGTGAACTATTAGTGTATTAATTTTTTTTTATGATTTGCCCAAACAATACTAATACCAAACGAAACAAATGGGTTATTTGATTGGTTAACCGAATTAACATAACTAATCGAAATAAATTATTCGTCAGTTATTCGACTTAACCGAAATAACTGAATTCTCTTATTATATATACATTTATAATATTGTAGTCAATATTTTAAAATTAAAAGTAAAAATATATAGATGTTAATAATATAAAATTTCGAATCGAAAAATTTAATCTTGTCATTTGTGGACGATATTGTATAAACAATTTACAAAATAATATTTTTTAATATAGTTTGTCTTTATTTTAGTTATTTAAATAAAACAATATCATGTTTTTTTAGATAGATGAGGTGAAAGTGCAACGTATTGTTTTATAAAGTGCGGTATTCCGTTATATAAAGTGCACTGTCCAATTTATACGTTACCATATAAATTATGTATAAATTATATGTATAATTGTACATTGAATTAACCTAAATAATTTAAATAGCTTTTTAATTATTATTTTTACTATAATTTATTAATTATTGCAAATTTTTTTATATTATTATGTATATTATAAAATACATTTTATATTTTAATATTTTTATTTAATAGTTTATATTTATAGTTGCAAATACAATATAAAACAATCAAAATCCATAAAGTGCAATCGAGCAGACAACAATGTGCAATTCGTCTATCTTTATTATGCAATCAACTGATCGAATATTTTTTATGTGTTTCGAATTTATAAACTTCAATAATGTGTATTTCAATTATCGTTATTTTTTTGCATTTATAAATTTTTTTATATCGTTTTAGTATTTATATTTTTTATTTGATATTTTATATTATGGTAAGTAAATATTTTTAAAAAGCAGGATATAAAGTGCAACGTGTTGTATCGTAAGGTGCAACGTGTTGTGCTGTAAGGTGCAATGTGTTATTTTATAAAGTGCAACGTGCTGCTATATAAAGTGTTGATATATAAAGTGCACTACTTTATATTATTTATTTTATTCAATATTTTATCTATTATTTTATTTTCTTATTACATTATTTTAATATTTTAATTTATTTCAAAAAATATATTTAATAAATTTATTTTTTATTTAATATTTTTTAGTATAGTTTGTTGAAAATAAATAACAGTATTTTTTTTTTCAGTCATGTAGTGTCATTGCACTCATTAATGTGCATCTGGACAGACGCTGTTGTGCAATCTGATGATCACTAATGTGCATCATGATTAATATTATTATGCATCGTGCAGTTCAAGGTTTTTTTTTTTTTTTATGTGCAATTCAAAAATATAAAATTTAATTAAATGGGAAATACACACTATATAATGTGAATATACAAAATATATTTAATGTTAATGTACACAACATATTTG